TGTACATGCAGGTTCTTCTGCCAGGAATGGACATCCTCTCCTCCTTCACCTGGTAAATTCCTACATTTTTCCAATACACAGTGCAAGTGCCTTCCTCAAGTTTCCTCAAACGACTGTCAATTACCCCACTGCTCTACTCTTCCTGGAATTATGCATTTACCTATCACTTGGTATTATTATTTGATACAGTGTGCTGCCCCAGCCAGACTCTAGAATCTTAAAGGACATGAACCATGTCTTATTCATCATTTTTACTGTATTATCTTACACAAGTGTGTGCCCTGAATGCTCACTAAATTAGTGAAATGAAATTTGGCAATTTTTTCCTACATCCTACACTAAAGCAAACTCAAATACAAATGAATTCAAGGCAGGCAAGTCTTCTAAGATTAAATGGAAGTTAGAAAGTGGAAATATGAATGAAAAACAAATACCACCTAAATTCCTGCTCCTCAATCCTGAAGCCTATAGCAAGAAGCTATTCTGTCAATGGTGATTAAGGCTTAGCTTATAAGGCAATCTCATCCTGAGTTCTAAAAAACACAAAGAATGTATTTCCACATTAGTAAGACACATGAGGACACTCAAATTCTGGAATATGTGTTAGTATGGATAAAAAGTTGAGTCATTTTATATATCTTAAGACAAATCCCTTCAGACAAGGTAAATTCCTGTCCTTTTACACTACAATCACATGATTTCATTATTCACTAGTCCTAAATGCAATTTAGGCTGCACACATAGCAAACACTGTCTGCCAACTGAGTAATAAACCAGAACTACTTGCTTTTCACAGAAAGAGGAAATTTTTTAAATGTATAAATGTTAACCCTAAGTGAAGAGGGAGGTTGGGATGGGATAAAGGGAAGGAATAAATGGGGCACTATTCAATTTTTTTTAATTTATTCAATTTATGAAATGCATTTTAACATTACAAAGAGAAAAAAAAGTTAAACTGTCAATGTGAAAGATTCATCAGCCTTTGACTACCTTTTCTCTTCAATTATTACCCATGGCAAAAAGAAAAAGAACTGGCCTAAAAGATATTGGTTTCAAGTACAAAGGCAGCTTAATTTAGAATTATCATCCTTGATCTCAAATCAAGACTAAATAACTTCTTAAAATTAATTATTATCAACGAGGCTTAAATGTTCTTATAGTTGCAAATCTAGCTATGTACCATGTGGTAAATTAAAAAAAAAAAAAAAATCAATGGACCACGGACCCCCCTGGTGGTCCAGAGGTTAAGAATCTGCCTTGCAATGCAGGGGACACAGGTTTGATACCTGGTTGGGCAACTAAGATCCCATATACCGCAGAGCAACTAAGCCCAAGTACCAGCACTATTGAGTCCAAGTGATCTGGAGCCCACATGCCACAACTAAAATCCAATGCAGCCAAATAAATAAATAAACATTAAAAACAAAATCAGTGGAGCAGAATTGTTTCTAAATTTAGAATATTAAGTTCTAAGAGGGAAGGATTTCTAAATATTTCATTCACTGATGTCACCCAAGGCTCTAGAACAGTGTTTGGCACAGAGCAGACACTCATTACATATTTGCTGAATATTGCTCAAGATGGTCAAAATACTTTATATGTCAAGACAAACAATGAGCTGCAGATCCTCAAAGAACACAAAGTTGAAGTCTAGGTTCATCTTGAAATGATCAGGGCTGCACAAATCAACTGATCCAAAAGCAAATTGAAAATGTATATAAGAATAAAGTAAAACATTTTATACAGAAGTTCTTAAGGTTCTGAACTTTAAAGATTGCCCAAAAGCTGACAAAAACAAATACATCACCAGCACAACCAAAATTTTCAACACACACAAACTCTTGCACTTTTTTTCAGAAAAAAATTCTATTTGATTCAATTTCAAAAGAGCCACAGGGCTTCAAGAAATTAAAAAAAGAAAAAAAACTAAGAATTTCACTTAAATACCAGTGACTTTACTACAAAATTGCATTTCCAGTTTTACAAAGCAGGACTACCCTTTCTTTTATCAACAGACCTAAGTATGCCAAAAGAATACTGCTAAGCAATATACTTCAGAATATACTGAAGTATAACAACATTGCTAATTCTGCTGTTTCCCACTCATAAAAGTGTAATGTAAATATTTATGAAGCTGGTGTTTTTTACTTTTTTTTATTAAAAGCCATCATGGGACTTTCCTGGTAGCACAGTGTATGAAAATCCGCCTGACAATGCAGGGGACACAGGTTCTATCCCTGGCCCAGGAATATTGCACATGCCACAGAGGGCAACTAAACCCCTGTGCCACAACTACGCAGCCCGAGCACCACAGTTACTGAAGTCTGAGTGCTTAGACCCTGCACTCTGCAACAAGAGAAGCCACCACAATGAGAAGCTCCCGCACCAAACTAAGAGTGGTCCCTGCTTGATGCCGTAAGAGAAAGCCCACTCGCAGCAACAAGATCCAAGACAACTAAAAATAAATACATAAAATAAAAGCTATCATGAATATTTATTGTGAGTTAGGTTATGTTTTAGCCCTTATGTAAAGTTTAGCCTTTCAGCCCTTGTTATCTGCTACTAACCTACAATGACCTGGTCACTCTGTTCTGGGCTTCAGTTCTCCTGTAGAATGAGGGACCTGGGTTAAAACAAAAATTCTTAATCTTTTTCTCTGCAACCCTTTGAGAATCTGATGAAAGCTACAGGGAACTCTTCATAAAACTGTACATAAACATTGTATAACAATTTTATAAACAATAATTTATAATGGCAAAACATTGGAAACAGTCTAAATATCCCCCAGTGGATGATTATGTTACATCCATTCAGTGAAATTCTTTGTAACTATAAGTAGAAACAAAAAAACCTTCTATGTACTGATATGAAAAGATATCCATCATGTATTGTTATATGAAAAAAAAAAAAAGCAAGTTACAGAACAGTATATATAACACATAACCTTTTGTGTAAAAAGATAAAAAAATAAAATATTTGAATTTCCATGTATAAGCACAAAGAAATTGGAAGAATAAACATGAATCTCTGGTGAAAATGGAAAATGAAGAAAGGGATAGGAGGAACCTTTTCATTGTACACTTTTATTTTTGTTTGAATTATGTGAATTGTCTATTAAAGTCTTAAATTTTAACATATTGCACATAAACTCAAGAGATCTAGACAACCTGCTAAAGTTAGGTTATTATTCCCAAATTCTATTCAGCTATATTCTTCTATAATGTTTTGACTTAACAAGTATATAATTATATACACTCAATGATCCAACAATAAGAACATTTAAGGAAAAATATTTTTCATGATGGTCCTCATACAAACATACAAAGTAATTGGTTACCCTAACCCTAACCCAGTGGCTCAAAAGAGCCTAATTTGGAATCTCATTTTCTATCATTTTTCTTAATCACTGATACACAAGTTTATTCAAGGAAAAAATTCACACCAATCATCAAGTCATTATGTCCCCTTATGGTTCAAATCTCAGACCTGTTATCTGACAAAGGAGCCCAGGTTTTGGAAACAAATTTCTTTTTTACTTAACCATATAAACCTACAGTACGAGTAGGAAGACCAGAGAAATATTCTCTTATTTTTTTACCATTATCTCAGAATTTGAGGCAAATTAAACAGCACAGGAGATCATCACACACATTCACAAATTAGATGATGTTTGGGAAGTCCTTCATCTTATCTGAGCAGGAATCAGATGGAACTGGTTTTCATCCCTGGGCAAGTTACTCAACCTCTCTTGGCCTCAGTTCCAGGTGTAAATGGCAATAAAAGTGCCTATCTCATAAGGATGTTATTAAGCTTAAAAGTAATAGGAAGGTACATAGAAAGTAAGACATAGAAATAAAAGGTAACCTAGGATAGTGGCAGGTATCTGACTGCTTAAATCAAAACAGACTGCATTCTGGAACCTGTAGTTTTTAGGGACTGAACTTTCATATACAAGAAATGCCTCTTTTTCCCTACTGAAAATAACACATGGCAGAATTCTGAAAATAACACATGGCAGAATTCCCGACGCAAAAGGTGCAAATATCTGGCGTTTCCTAATTATGTTTCCTGAAAAATCGCTTCCTAGGTAAGCTTTTATCAAAGAACTCTAGCTGTTGTGATGACTGGATATGTCTGAGTCCTAAGTTATAACATAATTTTGTTTTGTGTTTTCAATAGGGCACTTTCTCTGTCAAGCTCAGCACCAGAGTGGCAGGCTGCTGGGGGGCGGGGAGGGGAGGCAAAGCCGTCGAAGGCAACAACAGTCCTTCAACAGACCTGTAACTGGAAGGAAAATAGTAGGAAACTTACACTGCCATGGAGACAGAAGCAGCCGCCGCCAACCAGTCTCGACTTCCAAAACTTTTAAACCCCATCCGTCTTTTTTTGCAGAGCACTACTGGAGCTTATTATTAGTATTATTATAAATATAAATAGCAGTTACTTATTACTTCTCTACACGCCAAGCTCTTGCTAAGCATATGTTTTTCAAGATTCTGTGAAAACTGCACATATGAGCTCATACTCTCAACCCACTCTACCCCCAAGTCTGAAAAGCTCCCTTCACATCTTCAAATCAACGTGCCCCCTAAACTTTGTGTACTCCACACCTCTCACAGACCCACTCAGGCTCAGGAGTCACATCTTCACAAGTCCACGCTCTTCACCCAACACTAAACCAAGCACTTCTAGGAGAGTCCACGGTCCCTGCGAAGTTTGGTACCCTCCTCCACTCACCAATTCCAATCTGGCCCTAACTTGTTCCAAGAAATGCTGATTCCCTCCAAACTTCTGACTCCAAACCCATCGTGCCTGTACTTCATATTCCGAAGTTCCAAATTCAGAAACACAAACTGAAACTGGGCAGAGCCCGGTTCCAACCCCACGAGAACTCTTTACACCCGCTCGAGCAGGGCCTGGGACCCTCCACCCTCTAAGCAGGCCAGGCCGGGGCGCGGCGGCCTCGCTCCGGACCCCAACGGGAGGAGGGAAAGCTCCACCTGGCTCCGCGGGCGCGGCGCGCGACTCCTGCTCCGGCCTGGGCCCGGCGGCGGCCGCGCCCCCGTCCCGACGCGGGCGGCAGCGCTCCGGTGGGCCGCGGCGGGCGCGCTCGCCCAGCACCTCCGCGTCGGCCTGCCAGTCGTCGCGGGCCCGACGGCGGGCCCAGCCCGCTCCGCGGGCGCGGCAGCGTGGGCAACCCGGGCCCGCCGCGTCGGCAGCGCGTTGGGCGCAGCCTCGGCACAGCGAGTGGCCACACGGCAGGGCCGCCGCCTCCCCCGGGGTCTCTAGGCAGCCGGCGCAGTCCGACTCCTCCGGCCGCGGCGGTGACGGCGGCTGCAGCAACGGTGGCGGCAACACCAGCAGCGCGGGGCCAGCGGCCGGGCCCGGGGTCCCCGTTTTGGCTGCCGCCATCTCGTCACAGCGGCCCCGCCGACCCCGCCGACTCAGAGCTGCCGCCGCCGCCGCGGAAGAAGCCCGAGTACTCGGACCTGCCGCCGCCATCTTGTTTCCCGTTTGTAGGGAGAGTCCGTTGCGAGGGAGAAGAGTAGAGGGCGGGGCAGTGGGCGGTGGGCAGCTCTGTATACATATTCATGAGGGGCGGGCCCCCGGGCGTCGTTCTCCCCGGGTCGGGTTGGCGGGAGGTGAAACCTCATTAATATTTATTAGTTACCCTTTATATAGCTGGTCCTTGGCCTTGCTCTCCAGTCTTTGCCACTTCCTCTCAACCAAGTAACGTTGACAACTGAGGGGATTTATTTGGAAATTCTGAGCGATATTAAACTTTATGAAGTTATTACACGTATTTATCCTGCAGTATCCTGATAACTTAGGCTAAAGAGAGTGAGGAGTATGTGAATTATCCAGAACCCTGCCTCAGTGCTTCATTTATTGTGAGGTGAGCTGTTGTGACTTGAGACTAGTCCTACTAGCGGCTTCTTGTCAGTTCACATCTCAGTATACGCTCTCTTCAAATTCCTTCCTGAAATTTCCCTCCCTTGGCTGGGAAAAACCACAGTTTCCTTGAATTTTTTTCCGCCCTCAGCTCTTTTTCAGCTTTTGAGTCCTCCCGCTTGTTTTAGGTGCTTAAATATGGTTATTCCTCAAGCCTCAGACCTCAGTCCTCTTCTCACTTCTTGCCCTGTATTGCCCCCCAGCCCCTAGCCTATGTCACATTTTTTCCAACTGAAACTCCCGAATTGATACTTGCGGTCCAGACCTCCTGAGTCCAGCCCTGCATAGTCCACTGTCTGATGGAAACATTGTTTTGGGTATCTGCATTCCTCATGTACCAAACTAAAGTCACTGTCTTCCACCCTCCTTTCAAAACAGTTTTTCTGATTTGTCTCATTCTAGTTCAGTTTAGTTCAGTTCATTTCAGTCGCTCAGTCGTGTCTGACTCTTTGCAATCCCATGAACTGCAGCACGCCAGGCCTCCCTGTCCATCACCAACTGCCAGAGTCTACCCAAACCCATGTCCATAGAGTCAGTAATGCCATCCAACCATCTCATCCTCTGTTGTCCCCTTCTCCTCCCACCTTCAATCTTTCCCAGCATCAGGGTCTTTTCCAATGAGTCAGATCTTCGCATCACGTGGCCAAAGTATTGGAGTTTCAGCTTCAACATCAGTCCTTCCAATGAACACTCAGGACTGATCTCCTGTAGGATGGACTGATTGGATCTCCTCGCAGTCCAAGGGACTCTCAAGAGTCTTCTCCAACACCACAGTTCAAAAGCATCAATTCTTCAGCACTCAGCTTGCTTTATAGTCCAACTCTCACATCCATACATGACGACTGGAAAAACCATAGCCTTGACTAGACAGACCTTTGTTGGCAAAGTAATGTCTCTGCTTTTTAATATGCTGTCTAGGTTGGTCATAACTTTCTTTCCAAGGAGTAAGTGTTTTTTAATTTCATGGCTGCAGTCACCATCTGCAGTGATTTTGGAGCCCCAAAAAATAGTCTGCCACTGTTTCCACTGTTTCCCCATCTATTTGCCATGAAGTGATGGGACCGGATATTTCTAGTAAAGGTGCTATTCTTCCAGTCCCTCAAGCTCCAAACCTGGTAATCTTTACTTCTCCCTCACTCCCCACATCTGTCAGTTTCTTAGTCCTGTCAATTCTTCCACCAAAATGAACATTTTCCTACCTATCCTCTCCTCTTCATCCCATTCCCACTGCCCAATTCAGTCTCATCATTCTCTCACCTAGATTATTGCAATAGCTTCTATCAATTGTCTCCCTACCCACAGACACTCTTCCTCCAATCCATCCTCCATAGCTCTAGAGTTACTTCCTGAAGAACAGCTCTGACCACGCCATTCCTGCTTGACTTAGTCACTGAATGAGGTGCTCAGACTTTGGTGCCAGGGCCCTTTCTGGATGCAGAGGGTTTGGGAGAAACAATGGATTCCCTCTGACAGAGAGATGGTCCTGCTACAGCAATTCTCCCACCCTTTGCTTTTTTTTTTCTTTGCACTTAAAGTAGATTTGGAGCAGGAAGGCATTAAGCAAATGGCATTTCCTGTTGGGAATCTTTATAGGAAAGCACAAGTTTCATAAGGAGAGCAAAATAAAAAAAGTACATAATGTAATGGAAGGGATCAGAGGCCCTGGGTTTCCATGAGATTGCCTGGAAACAGTGTCTGAGCTGATAGTAAACCAGTCCAAGGCAAAGTGATTGGTGGAAGTCAGACAGAGAAAAGAAAGACGTGGATTCCCAAAATGAGAACCAGATGGCTACAGGACAGTGAAGAATTGAAGAAGGGTCAATGAGTAATTGAAACAAGGGCTTGTGTGCACGGAGGCCCAGACACTCCAAATCCTGCCAAACACAGAAGTATGGGCTTAGCCAGGCTGTCCTTCATCCAGAGGTCCTCTTTGTTTCACTTCCCACTTTAGGTTCTTGAGGATGCTTTGGCCAGATTGTGACAAGGGGGGGCCTGTGGTCCCGAGATCAAACCAATTACCGTTAGAGATGGGGCCCTTGGTGTGGGTTGTTCACTCTTGACAGTTTGGGGCTCTTAATCTGAAGTCTGTTTACTATTGGAGAAGCTGAACCATAGAAGTGTAGCATGCCTTCTTAGATATGAATAAAGACAGATTTCTTTTTGCAGTGGGAAAAAGCAAGAGTTCAGAGTAGTACTAAATCAAAAGCCAGGAGATCTAGAATTGGTCATGACCACTTTCTCCCTTTCGTTGGGCTTCCCTGGTAGCTCAAATGATAAAGAATCTGCCTGTAATGCAGGAAACCTGGGTTCAAGCCCTGGGTCGGGAAGATCCCCTGGAAAAGGAGATGGCAACCCACTCCAGTATTCTTGCCTGGAGAGCTCCATGGAGAGAGAAGCCTGGTGAGTTACAGTCCATGGAGTCACAAAGAGTCAAGAAACTACTTATTTATTTTTGGCTGTACTGGTGTCTTTGTTGCTTCAAGGGCTTTCTCTTGTTGGGGAGAGCAGGGGCTATCCTCTAGTTGTGGTGCATGGGCTTCTCATTGCAGTGGCTTCTCTTGTGGAGCACAGACTCTAGGATGTGTGAATTTCAGTAGTTGTGGCACCTGGACTTACCTGTTGTGGTGCATGGGCTTAGCTGCTCCATGGCATGTGGGATCTTTCCGGATCAGGGATTGAACGTGTCTCCTGCATTGGCAGGAGGATTCTTTACCCCTGAGCCACCAGGGAAGCCCCTAACTTGTATAATAGATAAACAGATAAACTCTCTCTGGACCTCAGTCACCTCATCTTTAAAACAAGAGTGCTCAAGTTCATCAGTTCTCAACCTAGAGAGCATTTCAGAAAGACACACACACACACATATACACATATATGCCAAAGTCCCTTCTCAGATCTACTGAACCAAAAAACTGAGGATGGGATGCCAGCATGCAAATTTTTTTATAATGCCACAGGAATTCTAATGAATACTCCTAGATCAGGCCACTACAATAGAGTGGTCTATTCAAAGACCAATTCAAAGGTCCTTTCTAGCTCTAACAGTCTAGAAGTTTCTGTTTGGGGGAATGCCCCATTTTATGCAGTTTCGCTGAGACTGGGGAAGCTGTGAACCACAGAGGTAGTCTTCTCCCTGCCCTAGGGCAGCCAGAACATGACATGTGACCTAGGCTCAGCCACGTGGCCACTCCTCTCTGAACTTTGAATCTTCAGGGGATAACACAAAAACATACTGACAAGTTTAGAATTATTCACAGGAACGGATGGGCTTCCCAGGTGGCATGGTGGTAAAGACCACGCTTGCCAACGCAGGAGATGAAAGAGACACAGGTTTGGTCCCTGGGCCGGGAAGATCCCCAGGAGTAACAGTAAGGGACAGAGGAGCCTGGGGTCACAGAGTCAGACACAACTGAGCGCACACACAACAGGAATGGTGTCCAACCACAGTGGGTCCCTTGAGGGTTGCTGTAGAAGTGGGCCTATCCCTACCATGATGACGGTGGTCATGCCAGAGTGCTCCTGAGGCATGAACTTGGCTGTAGTGCCTGCTGCCTGGCCTTCCTAGGTTACAATCTATTTTTCCACATGCAGGTTACCAGGCTTCCTGTCAACTCTATACCCTTTGAGTAAATTCCTTTTTTCCCCCATTAAATTGTTCACAATGTCTGTTGTTTGTAACAGAGTACTCCAACTTAGAAACAGGTTTGTTGTTTCTAAAGCATCACCTGATCATAGTTGTCAGGGCTGCTTCCTATGTTATGAAACCATCTGAAAAGCTGAGCCCAACAGCCTGGAGCAAAGGAAGCCGAGGTGCAGGTGATGCTTTTCCCCTAAGCTCCCACCTGTGACACAGTCACACTGATGCACTCATCGAGGATGCCAGCTGGAACAGGTCGTGGCGCAGCCACACCTACCAGGCTTCCTCTCCAGCTACCTTTGCTCTGCCACTCATGCCATACTTTGTGAGGATTGCATCACTGCCAAAGTTCCCTGCCATCCTTCTCATAGTGGTCCATACCACTGCTCTGGCTTTAGCCCTCCTCATTCGCATCACAGCGAACCTTCCCTCTTCCGGCCAGCTGGAGGCTCCAGCTACTTCCTCCTAGACTGAAGGCTATTGGCTTGGATCCAGGTGGAGACAGGCTGTTGCCCCTGCAGCCCCCGAACCCCTTCTCGCCAGCACTGAGTCCCTCCTGCAGGCCTCACACACCTAGGAAGGCTCAGGCCCTCAGACCCTTCCAGCCCCACCCCTCCCTCACCTTCCTCATCTCTCCTGGTGGCCTCCTCTTCTCTTCCTCCCTCAAACCAGATTTCCCCTTGTGATTTGGCCCCTTCCCTTTTGCTTTAAAGATTTTTTCCTGCATTCCTAACTATCACTCATCTTCAGGGCCTTCCCTTCTGTTTCAGGGGAAGTAGCAGTTTTTGCAAAACTAATCCTTCTACCTGTCATCTTTCCAGCCTCCTCCAGATTCATTCCAAATACTCTACAAACACAGAAAAGACTTGGTCCCTGCCCCACTCAAGGTCACAGCCTAAACAGAGAGACAAAG